TGTCTGACGGTATCTTTGATTTATGAACGTGTAATGCCGAGAGGCATATCTCAGTTTGGGTGAAGGGATGTGTCATGAATTTGTTTTCGCTTATCTGTTGACCGACTTAATTAGTTGATTACGAGCGAATTGCTGTGTTATGTCCGTCATCGTTTAGGTCTATTTGAAGTTTTGGACGGAACTTGGCTCAGTGGTTTGGAACTAATTACAAGATACCGTCGCTAGTCTGACATCCGTAGTTATTAATGTAGTGAACGATTAATCAAAAGATATGACGTATTCAGTACTTAGTGTGATTGGCTTTATGATTGAAGGTTACGCCCTAGAGTCTTTTTACTGTTTTGTAATTGGTTAGAGTTTTGAAAATGAATAAAGAGAGTTTGAGTTGGTCTTGGCGAATACTCCACGATAGACGCAGTCGAGTGCAGTCCTGGGCAGTCGAGAGTCCGAGAGAGTCCAGGGGCGAGCCTTGAGGCAGTCCAGTCTTGGGCGAGTCTTGGGTCAGCCTTGTGATAGCCTTGGGTTTTTTTCCCCAGGGCGCTGTGTCTTATAGAGTGCTCGATTGATCGACTAAGACGAGAGCTGAAACGTATTTCGTTGTGTGTGCCTTATTTGACTGTAAAGTTAAAGTGACTTTCCCGATCCCGTACCTCAAGGGGACGAGATAGAGAGACGAGACGAGTTTCCCCCTGACAAGTGTGGAAAACCCGAGAGAAAGAGAATTTCCCCCTGATATTATTACCATGCCTCAGAATTACATTTGAAATGAAGTTGGTATACTATAATAACAGTAAGCACTGCAGTCTGGTATAACCCCTCGATATTGCACAATTTAAGCAATAAATGCCAAGAATTGTGCTGTATCTCTTGGTATACCCACGTCCGGCGATAGTTTAATTCCTGAATATAATATTATTATTATTAATATCATGTATCAGATCATGAAAAAAATATGCATATGTATGGTGTAAGTGTGATTATTGGAAGTGATCGATGCAGACAAATCAAAATATTGGTGTGGAACAACATTCGGTCTGCAAAACAAACTGACCTGTAAATCCATTCATACACATCATAGATTTGGTTCAAGAATAGCAGAAATGCTTGATTTTGATTATTTGGTTATCTTGCATGGGATCACGAAACAAATGCACGTCTGTTCACGTCATAGTATTTATCTTGAGGTGTATGATGTATGCAAGTGTAAAAGTGGTCATACGCACCAAAAATGACTAACGTAACGTTATGACGTTTCTGACGTGCCTAAACATGCCAGTGAAGGTAGTTTTACACGACGCAATTCATAGGCAACACACAGAGCAACGAAAAAGGCAATTCGGTGACAATAAATGTTATACGAGGCATAGCAACTTTGTGACGGGCGACCAGTTGCCTGAAAGCAATCGTGGCGGTTTTTCAGATGACGTTGCCTGCTTGTCTTGGTGATGCAATTATATTAAGAACACGTGCACGACACAACTCACGAGTGCGTTGTCTCGTAAATTACACCATGTTAACTGGCCTAAACGAGTAAGCATTCTTTGAGTTAAAATTTTTCGAATGTTTCAAAAATGCACAAGAATGAGGGGGAGGGTGTCTAACGTGCAACAATTTATTGACCTTACTTCTACCTTGACAGAGGCTAGAGTTAACAAATTTCTCTTGTATACGACAGACACTGAATCTACGTTCGTATCATCGTTGAATGGACTGTCGTAAAATACTCTCGATTGTGTATAGAATAGAGACCCCTGAAAAATAAACATTTTGCTGGAGAAATGATCTTGATAAAGTATAGTATTATCCACTGCATCATAATTAATGATTTAGTGTACTAATTTAAAACACGCTTTTCTGATACCGCTTTGTGACTCTTCTAAAAAATATCTCCTTTTTTCGCAACTACGACGATTCTTTATTCGGGCATCGTTTTTTGAATCAACGTTCACTTCATTGATAGAGATGATATAGTTTGTGAACAATATTGGTTACCTCCATTTAAAAATAAATAAAATGCATTGTTGTCAATACTTAACAGCTCTCAGAAACTTAAAGATTTGATTATCTCCAAATATTCTATATTTTTATACAAATAATATGTAAAAGAAACATTAAAACATTAAACAATCGATATGAAAACGTGACTTTGCTTTGGTACATAAACATTAATGTACAATTATTAACGCGAATGACAAGCAAGCACTACACCAATATAATTGGATTCATAATCCACGTTTTAAAATTTTGCATTCATGTGGAGACCTGGTCATTAGCCTGGTTACCTTCATATTGTTTCGTGGATCCGCCAGTTCTCGCCACAATATTGCTTCGACTTTGCTCATTAAATATGCAAATATATTCGAACATCACGAAATAAAAGGCGGTTGAACTTTTACTGTGTGACAACTAACAGTCGACGCAGTGCGTGCTAAAAAGCATGTTTGTTAGCATTAGCATATTCAGATGTATGTTATATTTATCAGCCAATCAACGTCACGGCCACCCACTGACCGCGGTGGCAAAATTTAGGCAAAACAATAGAAACAATAGAAACAATAGAAAGGTAACCACGGCAGGTAGATGGTCATGTACTTTCAATTTCACTAGCAGTAAAAAGAGAGCCACAGACAACTTTCAAATTCATAATTCGTTGTGTTCTACGTGAGATGACAATCTTTCTGTTGTGTCGGAATATTGAGTTTATACTCCAAGTGCGTTTCTACATATGTAATTGTTTTATCGGCGTACCATGATATAAGAGGTAACTTACTAGGCTGGTACGAAAGTCAGGGGTCAGTAGGTCAGATTGTTTTATTGTAGCGCATTGAATACCGCTGCGTGATAGATTGAAATGTATATGCCATACACCCACAACAACAGCAAGCCATGAGGAAGTGAAACAAATTAAATTCACTGCGTCATCGAAATGTAATTTTAGTACAACAAAGCTCCGAATATGAATACCGACTGACTTAGGTTGATGATTGGGTGGCACAATTCTTACGGAATAATGTAAAAATTCGATAAATATAAAATAATTAGTGCGCAACGACCCTCTGACACTAGTATATCGATTCCCCGGTCAATGCAGATTTAATGAAATGAATACTTACACAGCCAGACAAGAAAATACAGCGATCAACAAGAAATATGGTAGCTGTATTCACTCGCTTACGTAGATTTTGTTCGCGGACCACAGCTACGAAGTAAAGCATGAATGCTTGGACCAGCTCGAGGTATACGTCCTTGACGTCATCTCATTTAAATTAGAAATGAATACAACCCAACTCACTCTTTTCATTCATTGTATTACCTTATTATTTGCCAACTAAGCGTGTCGACAACGCAACAAACACTGTAAATTCTATCCAGGTTATTTAGAAAAATGATGTCGTGTAGGACGTCACTTTTGTGACGGTTTATTGTGCACGTTCGATCAGGTCTAAAAACTACAGGTATTGCGGTCGTGTAGTGGTAACACAAGTGAGGAAACAAGGTGGAATATATATGCATACGTAACTTCATAGGCCGTTTCTTCGGTACCGTAGACTGACATTCAAAGTACTATAACAGTATCTAGATACACACTAAAATGTACAGTGAGGCGTCTTTTATAAAGGGTTTATCGGATTTACACATATTATAATAGTTGTATAAATATAAAAATACCATTACAAATTAGCAGTCTAGTTAGGCCTGATCCAGTTTGAAGCCATATGCATTTCGGACAATAAATAAATCTGAATCTGAATAAAAACAATGGACTAAACTGTTTAATATCATGTACGGAATTACATTACGTAGGTAGACATAAATTGTTTGTTTCACCGGTGCACTTCCATCTCAATAAATACACATATCCGACATTTTGACATTGTCAATCAAAACCATCGGGACGGAGAGTTTATCATGCACTAGAAACTTAGTCACAAATATTGTCACTGATGAAATAACGAGCTATGTAACTGCGCATGTCTTTTGAATTAAGGGTACGTACTAATACTTCAAAAAAAACAACGATGCTTTTCGTTTTTGCACTGTCAATTCAGAATAAAGAACTATAAAAAATATAAACATATATGAAAGTAAATAATTTAGTGAAACCTGGGTCAGTCGTCAATATTTGTCAACTAAACACCGTATAACCTACATTAACCTCCTATGTTGTCAATACGTTTTTTTTTATTATATGAAATGAAGCTTGTTTTCAAATGTTTCATATGAGTAACAATAACAAACTGGAATTTTTAAATTAACACGCCTGGAAAACGTCATACCAGTAGTACCTGGATGTATCTCCGCTAATTATACAGCGATAATGGCTACCCACAATGCATCGCAGACTAACCTACTATCATAAAAAATCACAATATCATAAGATGGACATTGATATTTAAGTACAAATAATTATGAAATCGCTTGGAACAAACACTAACAAGTAAAAACGACTCTTCCTCATCAAACCCATTAAATGTTCTTAAGGTATACGATCATCTTATCTTCACAAATGACTTGATGCTGTGTTGTCATAGCAACGATTTTGCGGCAAGTATTCTACAAATCAAACAAACATAAGCACCCATTACATAATGTCAGAATAGCTTATCATATGTTACAAATACAAATAGACATGAACGATATATATCTGATATAAAACACTTAGTTTTGTTTCTCCATAAGTTACATGCGATATGCAAGAACTGATGTTTATTTGTTGGACGACACACTTGATTTGAGATCAGTTTTACCTGCACCATGAGGAAGATATTTTTTTGCAGACGTTGAGGGCGAATCTGAAAAATAAATGAGACAAGGTTTAAGAATCTGGAGACTTGATAATTATATGTCAGTTGTCAGACAGTATAAATCGAAAGCGGGCAACCTCGGCGTAACATCTTACGCTCCCCTGCCATTCCAATGCCGGATTACGAACTATTATACACATGACTTTCCCGGGGATTAATCAATTCCAAATAAAGAATTCCCGAGTCAAAGAAATCAAATATCAAGTTTACAACCACATAATTATTGTAATTCAGTAAGATGTTTGGGTATTTGACAATTTTATTAGATTCCATTAAAATTCATGACGTTTATTATCACGGCAACCACTGTCACGGTCTTCGGGGAATAAAATATGTTTATTAGTTTCGTGACAGGTCAAGTCATGTGATATTGTGATAATGCTGAGCTGTGTGCGTTTTAATTGACGTCATTACATTAGGGAAAACATAACAGCTTTACCTGTAGTTTCAGAACCACGAAGGCAACACGATGAACAGAACGTGTCCCTCCACTGGTTTTGGACATCCTTCTTCAAAGCGCAGAAAAATATAAATATAAATAATCCTTGAAGAGTATTGGCAATCGCAAACAAATAATTGACGATTAAACCAGCCTCACTGATTGCCAGTATCGCCAAAGCCCAGGTGATACCAAGCAGTACAAATAAACTGACAGATCCACGAAGTTGTGCTGCTTTGCCATATCGATCTGATGTAGACATATTTTTAGAATTAAGGCTGCATATTTGATGAACAACAAGGATATATATCACTGTATTGAAGATGAGTACTAGACAGACTGGAGCCAAGAACGCAGCAAAGAAGGCGTATCTGGATAGCCAACATCTTAAAATAAAAATGAAATAAATATAATATAGTATAACATGATATACCCACTGAAAGGTCGCACGAGGGGCTGTAAATCACTCACTAAAAAAACTAAGCTAAACTATTTGCTCAAGGTGAACTACTTTTGTACAGTATTACGTACTGCATACCGCCCTCTATGGCTAAGTGTATGGTATGTAGTGAACTCTTGCTTGCTTGAGACAGAAGTGACAATTGTTCCTCGTACAAAGGCGTAATTCGTAGGATTACTTCTGGAGGAAGCCAATAGGGATAATACAACACTAAAAAGAAGTTTCTAACAGAAATTTCAAGTTACCTGTACAACTCATGTTTTCGCATACTACATTACATACATGTATTTAATTTACGTAATTTAAGTTGATGTTACTTACATGTTGTTATGGTAACCGTAGTTATCAATATCAATTACAAGAGTGATTGCAACGATAACCACCGGAGTACCTGTAATGATATGGATAGGTCATTCGTTATATGTACATTTATGCAGTGTAATCGGTCACAGTACATCTATTACGTAACCGATATAGGTGATATTATTGAGTGGAAAAATAATTAATCATTTATACGGACGAGACTCATATATGTATATCTTAAAAATCTTGACTACCTATCAAGTCATTTAAAAAGTGTGACTCACCCCATCCAATTAGACCCAACTTTATCATGAAGTGTCTGATATATGTCTTGAATATTTTCACCAATAATAGATACATATTGAATGCTTCTAGTGCCATCCATGTCATAACAGCCAATAAGAAATAGTGTAACAATACAGCCATGGTAGTACAAAGCTCGGGTATGATTGGTGCAAAATCCACAGAAAATGAAACGGCCAAAAATAATAATAGTGACATGAAAATTGCAAAACACAAATTCATAAGTATCTTGGTTGGGTTGTCTTTTCTCAGGCGCCTAAAGAAGAAATATGAAACTACCATAAAGGAATTGCTTTGGATGAATGTGCGATTCACATACGCAATAATACGAGAATAATACAATGCATTTTTGTAACATACAAACCTGAATGCGAGAAATGTGATCAGAGTCAGAAGCATACACAACAGAGATATACCACATCCGATGTAAGATACGATAGACAACGCCTTCTGGTGACCTTCATCAAATTCAGATGCGGTTCCATAAACATCCTATAAAATAAAGAGTTATTATTTTTTTATTAAAACAACTATCCATGTGTGCTATAACATTTTTAGGTGACTTTAATTAAAAAAATATAACCTGAATACTTACAACGGAGCATTTATTTAATATAGACGTTTGACATTTACCTGTGAAAACATTACACCCCATAAAAATAAACATTGGGAATGTTAGTGTCTAGTGCTTTCCAAGAGGGCGGTCTGTTTCAAATTTAGCACCGGGGGGGGGGGGTAAAAATAAAGGAACTCGGATGTACAGCGTTTACAGCACTAAACAACTCAGCTACTCATCCAATTAACTGTACTGTACTATATATTTCTGTATCTTGAAATGGGTACCTATCTATCAGTCACTGCATTGAATTTATTTATACTATATACATACAATAGTTCCACTGTAGGAACAATAATTAGCGGAATTAAAAACTGTCACGATGCCTTGTTAATGGTGTACTTACCATAAGTAATGCGAAGTTAGTCAGGTGATCACATTCACAGGTGGTGACATTATTTGAACTTTGACCTGATACATTACATCCATCTGTAGACCACCCTCCAACATCATCTATCAAAGCAATGTAAACACCGTTGGTTGGGTGTGTGAAGAGAGCACTTAACCTCGACAAACAATATCATTATGCGAATTACAACAACCTTTGATTAAAAACATTGACATAAGTTTTGCTATAAATTTAGACGGTATATCATATACTTTACTTGTCATCAACACATACCTGTGTTGTCAATGTAATCTCAACTAATTGTAAAACTCACCATTGAGAGAATAGTCCCAATACACACATTGTGGATTGACAAGATTCTGAATAAAAACAAATATTACATTTTCAAATTACACATAGTATATCATGGTTAAATGGTTAGTAGTAGATTGGAAACTATTTTATTAGTGATAATTGCATATAATACTCAATAAAAACATTAAAGATTACAATAAACACGCGCAGTCATAAATTTCATAACAATTTTCATTGCTTTGGTATGTAAAAAAAATGCATTTTTTCACACTTTTTAAAAATCCAGATTATTATTATTATTAACGATATATTATAATTTCAGCCGATGTCACCAGCTTACAATTTCAGGGTGAAATCTCAACAATATGAAGGTAAGGAAAAATTGCCACTATCCACAAAAATACAACCATGTTTAAGACAATCACTTAAGATTGCCCGAGAGAACATTTTAATGCAAAATGAATAAATTCTGAGTATTTGCATTTATGGGCAGGCTTCCCCCTTAATAATTAGTCAAGATGAAATAACGTCAGGTTATTGCCAGTATGACGTCACATTAGTATTATTTCATCTATGAAGGTAAAAGACGTATGGAATTTCCTGAATATTTATCAGATGCAAATCAGCACTAAACCAAAGAGTATTCAATGTATGTTACTGGTAACTATCCTAAAACCGCCAATAATTTACTATATTTATTGGGTTTATTAATTATGTTTCACATGATAATACCCACTCCTCTTTGCCATGTTAGGTTGATTTTAATAGGCTCCCCTAAGTCACTGATGATTAGGTCTCCAATGCTTGCTCCAATGACTGCACTATTCAGTACTCCATATATGGTATCATTGTTGATGTCATAGTCAGATGTCACATTATTCAATGTCTGGTTGACATCGTCAGACAACGCTGCGCCTACAGCCTATAATAAAGTTGACAGGCGTAATTCTTTCACGTAGATGTTTTGAGAAAGTACACATTATTGAATGAGACAATAAAATGTTTGTATTTTATGAACACATTGTATACGGATATATTATGCAATCATTCTACCAATTCAAAAACACGAAAACAACGTTTGATTGTAGTGTATTCTGAAATTCTTATTTTGTTGAAGACAATTCGACCTGCACTACTGTCTTGCCTTACCTTGAAAAATATATTTGATTTATATGATATAAACTGTGCTCTAGACGATCCATCTTGAAATCTGTGTCCATCAAATAAAGACGATGGCAGCTGAATCGATGATTTGGTATTAAGCTCTGATGAACTATAGTCATTATCAAAGTTATTCTAGACGACAAAACGTAACGATATAAATTTACACATATACAATTATCATCGATATATTCATTATTGAATATTGTTAGTATGTAAGTCACTTCACATCACGTCATATTTAAAGTCACGCTACTTAAAGTCTCGTCACGCGATGTAAGGTCACGTGTTTGTACATTATTCCGCGTCACTGCAAGGTGTCGCGTCGTTTTCATGCCACATCCCTACATTTTACAGATCAGACCGTGTATATAACGTCATATAACACGACGCACAGTAAAGCCACGCCATTTCACGTCATGTAACTCCAATTTACACAATGCCACGTCACGTCACGTTTGTTATGGCATATCATTTCAAATCATTTTCACTATAAGTTACGCCATACACCATACATAGTGCGAGTAGAATATAGTTGAACTGATCTGATTATTATCTGATAAACTGAACAATATACCGGTATAGACACTGGTGTTTAGATTAACTATATATATCACAATGTTATCTACTGACCTGATTATTATCTGATAAACTGAACGATATACCGGTATAGACACTGGTGTTTAGATTAACTATATATATCACAATGTTATTTACTGACCTGATTATTATCTGATAAACTGAACGATATACCGGTATAGACACTGGTGTTTAGATTAACTATATATATCACAATGTTATCTACTGACCTGATTATTATCTGAAATACTGAACGATATACCGGTATAGACACTGGAGGTTAGACTAACTATATATATCACAATGTTATCTACTGACCTGATCAGTATCTGATACACTGAACGATATACCAGTATAGTCACTGGTGTTTAGATTAACTATATATATCACAATGTTATCTACTGACCTGATCATTATCTGATACACTGAACGATATACCGGTATATATAGTCACTGGTGTTTAGATTAACTATATATATATCACAATGTTATCTACTGACCTGATCATTATCTGATACACTGAACGATATACCGGTATAGACACTGGTGTTTAGATTAACTATATATATCACAATGTTATCTACTGACCTGATCGTTATCTGATACACTGAACGATATACCGGTATATATAGTCACTGGTGTTTAGATTAACTATATATATCACAATGTTATCTACTGACCTGATCATTATCTGATACACTGAACGATATACCGGTATATATAGTCACTGGTGTTTAGATTAACTATATATATCACAATGTTATCTACTGACCTGAGTATTATCTGATACACTGAACGATATACCAGTATAGACACTGGTGTTTAGATTAACTATATATATCACAATGTTATCTACTGACCTGATCATTATCTGATACACTGAACGATATACCGGTATATATAGTCACTGGTGTTTAGATTAACTATATATATCACAATGGTATCTACTGACCTGATTATTATCTGATACACTGAACGATATACCGGTATATGTAGTCACTGGTGTTTAGATTAACTATATATATCACAATGTTATCTACTGACCTGATCATTATCTGATACACTGAACGATATACCGGTATAGACACTGGTGTTTAGATTAACTATATATATCACAATGTTATCTACTGACCTGATCATTATCTGATACACTGAACGATATACCGGTATAGGCACTGGTGTTTAGATTAACTATAGATATCACAAAATTATCTGTTTCTACTTCCCGTGTTTCATTTTGTGTTTCCACAGCCATCGCTAATTGGTCGATTATTTTGATCAATCTGAAAGAGGTGTACTCGACAGATGATTATCACTAACACAATAGAATAGTTGCACAATAATAACCGAAAACGACAGCATATTGAAGCATGTCCTTCATCACATTGGGATAAAAAAGTTTTCAACGTATAAAATTACACAATGAACATTTGATGTTTTTTTTATTTCACATTTGTTGTTACAGTAGTTAACTTACCTTGATGCGGTTTGCCCATTCTTTTGACTTGCAACCAGCACATCCCGTTCAACGTTAAATAAATTATCAACGCTTTTAAGTACATTGTTGGCAACTTCAATACTTGTCGTGTTAGTGTAATTAGCGTTTAGTAAATTGTCAATAACATCTACCGTTAAATACACATCTACTGCAGCAAAGTACTCGGCGGCGGACGTTAGGTTGGATAATTTTTTGGCAATCCCAGGAGCATTTTCTGTCAAGATAGTAAGATTAAAGATAAGATTAAATACATAAATTATTTACAGCGAATCTGAGATGTAGCCCAAACTGAATATTTCAAATAATACACATAATTTTTTAAGTGTAGGAAAAAAATATTCCGCAAATAAATAACAAAAAACACATAACAGGTAAAAGTACTAATCGAGACACTGTGACTTACGTGCATTAGTTGTTGTTTTGGCTAGATTATCCAATTGATGTGTAGCAGGGGTTATGGTAACACCGGTACATAGACTAGTATCTGGTTGTTCCCATATTCCATCACTATCGCTAGAAAAAATATGACTAGATGCAAATAATGGTCCCGAGTTATGTAATACCGATATTGTATTTTGCGCTATTTATATTAATAGCTCTGCGTAGGTAAAAACTACTGCTAAAAGGTTCCAAGATATTATGCCAACAGAAACTGATTGATTATTTAATTTATTGGCATTATATGTCCACAATGCAATTATGTAATTGTACGTCCTGTCGTGTGCACAGCCATCCAAACAAACTGGTTATACAGGTAGTCATAATTAAATAGACATGGACTCCGTCAGACAAGTGACATTGAAGTCTTCCAATAACTTTACACAAGAAACACAACTGAAACACTACGTTGATTACAATGTGTGATTTTCAATTTACATGATGGTTATCTACTGGTATGAGGGAGGTAAAAATGTAGATACACGCGTACATGGCCTAATAAACAACTCGTACATTATGTTGTCATCGAAAATGTTCACAGCACAACACAGCACAATCAATGTAATATTCTCACCATTTTCTTGTGACCATTAACCCAGTCCTGGGCGATACGAATGGACATTTCACTTCAGCCTCTTCGCCAGCTGGTGTAGGCCTCCACTGAATATCAACATTGTCATAACAAGTTATACTGTGAGGACACATATTCCATTGTATAAATTCTGATGGTAGAAATGCATTACAGTGTGATGATCCACATACATAGGTACAGTTCCTTGGTAAAAACAGATCATCACTACTCTTGCAATCATCACATTGTGTTGTAGGCATATCTGTACATCCTTTACTAACGCTGTACTGATTACCAATCCAACTGATGCGAGTGAAGCATCTTTTTCCCTGTTTAAAATTAAAAAGTAAAACACACAACAAGTTACAACCACAATCGTAGGGTATATGCTGAGGTTACTAGTAGTAAACTACTAACGGGGACCATAGTGGTCTTTAAATTAGGTTTCGAAATGAGCGAGGGGTCCTTTTCTACATGTTCTATTGTTCAGGGATTTTTTTGTGACATTTTTAGAAATGATATGTGACAATGACAACTCTTTTTACCACGATTTCTACTGCAAAATATGTTTAAACAACTTCAAATGATAGGTTTCCTGCCAATTTCTTTCAATGGGTGGTGATTTCCACCAAATGACGGGGTCTCGATTACCCGTAAATAAATAATATAAATGAGTTTCCCAGGAATTATTCTGGTTCGAATTATTGCAACGATGATCTGTGTTATGATCAATATAATGTTTGTTTTACCTCGATGATATAGCATAATTATGTTTTAGGCAGACAGTTTACTCTGAAATTATGAACGATTGAACGTGGTTTAGTCTTACAAGTGTCTATACAGCAAGCATAGTTCAAGACAAACATTGTAGAACAATGATTTTATGATTTTCTTTTTTTAAATAGCAGTCAAATTCTAAATTTCCTCTTCTGAGGAATGCATTACAATATTATGATATTATCATATCAACAATAACGTTTTCATTTCATATCACCGACAAAAAAAATATTGAAAATATGAACAAATGTTCTCACCATGTAAACCAATATAAAGCTTGACAATTTTGCCAGGATGTTTCATGGCATTGCTTTTTTATGTTTGGTAACCAGGTGGCATGAACATAACTTACATTTCAACAACTACACAACTGCAGATATGTCATGGCATTTTGCAAAGTTTGTATTTGTCGCTTTTACAAAAAGAAAATACCAAAACACTATGGAATTCTTTGTTACGGAAGATTAATAATTCGGTTGAATTAAGGTTATACTCCGAGTTGTTTCAATCAGTGTATTTTTGTAAGCATGTTTATCTTAACAGATGAATTCTTACACTTCCTAGATTATCTTGTTTATAAGAGCAACGCTGAGTTGCCACATCGATAGGCAACCTATGTAAAAATGTTTAATATGTTATACACTCGACACCATGTTAATAGCTTATATGAATTATCTAGCTATATAGCAAACTATCAGAATAAAGATGAGACCGGGAATATCAAGAGATCAGATCCTACGCCTGGTATCCGTTCAGTGTAGTTAGCTTCAATATGCCAGATACTAAAGGTCACATTATGAAATCAGACGACAGAGCGCGACATGACGTAACATGGACAAACATAACATTATATAGCATAACACAACTTAACAAAAATACGCAGACAAATTGTTCTATACCATTGCACAATCTTCGGTATTGATAGAGCATTCTCCAAATTTATGTTGATTTTTGCACGTGTAACACATTTTCGAAGGACCTATTAATGAAAAATATGCAAATATATGAGATGAAATCACCGACAAAATGTTCTGTTCCTGATGCTTTTACAATGTTTTGTAATTATTTTTAGTTTATTTTGAAATTCCGTTATTCGACAATTATCACATTATTTTGGCCTTTTTGGCAATGATTCGGTGAATAATTATTGTCACATTAATTTGCTTATTTCGCTATAATTGTCACATTATTTAATCATTATTTCACATTTTCTCGAGCACTATTATTTGAATATTTTTCTATTACTTTGCCATTTGGTAAGTGTTTCATCATGATTATTTGATTAGATCATCATGATTGTGTGTGATTTTCAGCTCGGAATAGAACACTTCTTATAAATCGTGTTATCGGAACGAGACTTTTTTCAAAGCCAAAACAATCGTTTTTTTTTTACAAATTTCATACCAAAACGTCGGACATAAAAGTAATTCTTATAAATAAGATATCCCGCGTGCAAACCACGAATAAAAACTCATGCAAATATCGTGGTCATGGTTTAGTCTAAAAAGTTATTGTATTTTTCATCGTTAAATGACCTATAATGAGGTTTTGATTTGGAACTTGGAATCATGTCCATCGAGGGAAGGGTGAAAGGGGTGTAACTCTTGTTACATGAATGGCTACTTACATGAGTGATGTTTTGTTATTTGTATAGCTTGAACGACGATTTTTGACTTTTGTATATATAATGTTCGTAATGTATGTTGACACTTACAATTTGCTAAATTGTAAGTTGCTATGTAAGTACCACACACTGCGCACCAATACCATATACAACTGGGATTTCATCATATGTCATCGAGCATACTTCGTAGTAGTATAAAATCATAGTATGAAAAGGCATCACAAACAAAAAAGTGATATTAGCATTCCTAATTTTCCCATTGCATAAGCATAACTCACTCATAATAAAGTACTATTATACACTCACCATTGCAAGTAAAATCTTTAATCTCGAAGTTCTGTATCGGCATGGCATTGTTTTTGTTTCCATTATCATTCCTATTTTGGTTTCCGTTTACATTTCCGTTACCATTTCTATTTTCGTTTCCGTTTTCTTTTCCATTTCCATTGTTATCTATATTTTCGTTTTCGTTTTCATTCTCGTTTCCATTTCCGTTTTCGTTTTCATTTTCGTTACCATGTCCGTTATCGTTTTCATTCACGTTTCCATCTCCGTTTTCCTTTTCATTCCCGTTTCCATGTTCGTCTATATTTCCGTTTCCATTTCCATTCTCGTTCCCGTTTCCATGTTCGTCTATATTTCCGTTTCCATTTCCATTCTCGTTCCCGTTTCTTTGTTTCATACATTCAGCGCCAGTTATATTCAATTTCTCAAAATACGCAATTCGAGTTGTGAGTGCCAAGTACAACCATCTAAGCTCACAGTCGCACGTCAGTGGGTTACCGGCTAAGAGTCTGCAATAACAATAAAACAAGTCTACGTCTACATACAGACGGATATATCTTGTCCGACAAAACAAGTATAGCACTAGTTGCATGTCCATATCTGCAACAGTACTTACTACATTACAGTTATTCGTGTTATTGAGATCACATGAATATATATAGTCATCTAGTGCATTATGCCTTCGTTATGACTATATATGATCATCTGACATGTTAATTACACCTTCTATCCGATATTTTCAATGTATCACCGAGAGCATATTGCACAGACTTCAACAGCCATCAGATTACACGGCCATACATGTACTTGTATGTTAGCCATATCATATAGAAAGACTTCACCGGCTGCACTCAGTTATGCACTTTATTGAGATCGCATGAACTCAATTATACAAAGTGGGTAATTAATATGCAAGAATCTCAACCCAGAAGTAGTCAGATCTGTGGATTATTGAAATTTGATGATTACTACCATAAAATATTTTGGACCAAGTATAAATTAATTTATGCAAGTAATAGTAACTAGTAAGCACAACATATATTTAACCCTAAACTAAACAGGATAATATGTATTATCCCATAGTATTTATGCACCAAGTTTCATTGAAATCTTATGAGTGGTTGAAAGATTGGTGGAAAAGTTAAAAAATGGCTAATTAATACGCATTTCAGGTTTTAATATGCACAGATTGGGACCAGAAAATAACCAGGACTACGCATCCAAGGCCATCTATATATCAAGTTTATTTAATCACACAGGGACGACATACTTGTGTAATTTGATTTGGGGCGACATACAATTTTAATTTGATTTCATTTCTGATTGTTCATTCATTTTCTTAATTATTCTATTCATATGTTTACGTTCACCACCACTTCGTCAGCTTTAAATTTGTTGATAAATCTGAACAATTTATTGCAACACCAATATCGCCGATAAAATGTGTAGCATGTTGCACAACTTATTGCCCATTATCGGTAACTAAATTACCAAAAAATAGCATAAATGTTTTTTACGCAATCTCAGAAACACTATCAGCATTGATTGTAGCATGCATATACAAGTTCATAAATTTCCGAGAAAAAGATTTATGATTCTCACATGGCCTCCATCTAGGATTAAAAAAAATCTAAAGTACTCCATCGCACACACCTCTGGTATATCTCCGCAATCTGACGCTGTCGTTTCAGTTTTGACATATGTACTAACAAAAGTAATCTGAAATATGGCGTGTAAGTATCAAATACATTAAGCACTTGTCATATTGTAAGACTTACAGCTTTAATTCTATATTTATACTTACAGCTCCGTTAGATTTTTCAGCCGAAAAATATCAGTAAAGTTTATCCCTGTTATATTATTATTTACCAAATCTCTGAAAAAAACAAACAAACAAACAATAAGTAAAATAAATTTAACATTGTTTGTCTTTACTGAACTGGAAATACTTAATTTAAATGTCATATTCGGGTATTTAGTGTGAATACCCGTCTACCGCCCAACAGTTCGTTGATTGTACAAAATATGTTCAGCCAATCAAATGATGATTACAAATCGTGCGGTAGTATCGAAACTGACAATAGATGCATACACTGTTAATACGGTAAAGAACTATTCTTTTGATATAACGGAGTAGAATGGGAATATTTGTTATTCTTGCACCAGGAAGCAATTTCCGATGACCAGTTATCAATGTGGATATACTACCTAATTAAAGTGTTAAATAATCTAAAAGACTTACAATATGGTAGTATCAATAGGTATATTAGAAGGAAATTTCCTTAATTCTTGACCGCTACAATTCACGTGTAGTTCATATGGTTTTGATACATTACAAGTACACTTAGGTACATGTTGCTGTGTGGGAAATATTCCCTCAGCAATGCTACTGCGATGATGTGATTCATCTTGGTTGGTCGGTGTATTATGACAGATACCTTCAGTGATTGTAAATGTGTGTATAAATGATATAATAACAATTAGATGTAGACGAATCATTTCGATTTCTCTTCCCCTGTTTTCCGTAATGCAGCTGTGAACAAATTTAAGTAAATGGTTAACACTTTGATATGTATGCAGACCGTATTCTAAAATACATACAAAATTGTGCATCTGTTTTATTACATTGCATTTATATTTATGTATGTGTATTAAAAGTAAGGGGTATGTTAATCGAATGCTTTCATTTTCCTGATATACAGATAATAAATGACAGTGTGATAATAGGAAGGTAATGCTGATGATCTTTAGTATGACTACTGCAACAAAGTTAGACCTATATATATGGCTTACAAGCTTCTGTATTAATAACTGGCTTCCCAACCCAGTGAGCCCAATGATAAGGTCTAGCCACCACATTAAAACAGGATTGACCTCAGAAAGGTCACTTCAATAGAAGCATTTGGCCGTAGATTCTTGGTGTATGCCGTTCTTAGTTCAAAACAGATGGCATATGAAAGTCATTTTTTAGCTACTCACTCTTATTTGGGTGACCTAAAATTCCGAACATGAAGTATTGGGAACATAAACTGAATTGTGAAACCTAAGATTAGCTAGGACCACCCGGATAAAATCGATGTCAGTGATTTTCACAGTTCAGCACAGTCATTAGGAAAGAACGCTGTTGGACTTATAATTTAATTATTAACGCAGATATGAGATACCAAGAATCCTTAATTTTTTTTGAAAGACTCCCAATTAATGACTGACTGTAAACTTTCAACTGTCACAAAACAGTACACCATGACTAGTGCCTTCGAAAAGTCTCTGCTTGATCACAGTGCTGAAATAGTAGCTGATTTTTCCAAGGGAGTAAAAACATATATTGGCTTGTTAGTCCTCACAAACACCCCAGGGAATTTCCATTGGAATATAAAAAAAAAAAATTTATATTGATCAAAAGATTAACAACTTTGACTCTTCAATATATTGAAATCTCTGAAATAAATTTAATCTGTCAAATTGACCTGGATATATTTTCTCAAATTAATTCATAACTTGTATTAATAATGTTAAAAATATCACAATACAGACTAGACAAAAATGCAAAATTCAGATATTACTATACAGAACAGACAAATGCTAATTCCACTTTTACCACGGAAACAACAGAAATCATAAATGCTTAATTATTTCACAGAGAAAAAAAACGTCAAGTACTCAATCAAAAATTAAATCATTCGAAATATTAAATATATGCTGTAATTGTTTGTGTTATTCAAACTACAAAACCTTGTTGGTAGCAGACTACTAGTATGTTTTACAAATAAGGTATCATATTTCTAACACACAATATGTTACCTAGTTAATTTGCATATACCTAAACGCCAGACTACGTACTCTCGCTATGTAAAAAATCACAGTTAAATGTAGCATCTATGGTACCGACATTTGCATTATATAACACCATATTACGTATGTGCCTAGATTTTGACAGATGCTTGGCGTAAACAAATTAACCTTTGAAAAATATCACAAAAATACTTACAATAAAATGATAGAATGTGATAAATGTTCAGAGTATTAGTATGAGTTTAATTATCAATTTAGATATTAGTTTTTACATTGTAAGTAAATGAACAAACTATTGACAAATGTAATGTGGATATTTTTATTGAGCGGCAATGATCAGTCACAATGTTCACATATCATGATTTATAGCTAACCATGGTTTATGCCATGTAACAGAGATGTTTTGATCATACAATCATTGTTGAAAAAGTCTACTTTATTTACAAGCGTCATTCAATGAAAATGGACGAAGCTCAACATAGAACATTCACTATTCTCCAACCTTAATTAATTACAGTATGTTATGATTTGTGTTATTTCCATGGTTTTTGTAGTCGCTTGTTCATGTAATGTGGGTAAAAATACTCAACAATGGTCCCACCGGGGAATCGTGATATACGAGCTTACTTCCAAGGCTTGCTTACAGATTTAATAATAGTCAGCGTGTCAACAGGTCAGGTATTTTATGGTATCACCCTGAATACCATTACGTGTTAGGTTGAAACGACTATGCCATATGCCCACAATAACAGCACGCCATGAGGAAGTAACAAATGATAAATACACTGCTTCCTCAATATGGGATCTACCTTGATATTCAACACAGCTCTGAACAACAACCAATTAAAAAATATTCATGTTGCGAATAGTTTCGGCAACATAATCGCAACAAATAAAATAGGTACAAAATGAAGTGCTATGTCTGTCTGTTGACATATCAAAATAGCGTTGTTTGAAAAAGGACATACTTACATAGCTTGGCTAGAAAATACGGCAGTCAACGAGTAATAGTTTAGTTGTATTCACTCATTCGGATTTTGTGTAGTTTTGTGTATCCGTTTAAGGTCCAGCGTGGCTACAAAAGATATACGACAGGTTAGACTGCGTTTACCAGTCCAATTGTATCCCCATGTCATCTCATTTAAATTGCAAATATATTCAACCCCACCGATTCCTTTCACTGCCTCGATTTCACCACTATTGTATTAACGTGTGTACTCATAGCGTGGGTAACGGAACGGATGATCTAACCCACATAGGTGATCGGTGAGAAATAAGTCTGTGATACATGGAATAACTCGGTCAGTAGTACACATATGTCGGTTATTGAGACTCGCCCATAGATGTTAGATACGTGTCCACGTGATGTAACGCTGAATCTTAACATGTATAACAGATATTTAAACAAATTCAATCCAAATTATGGAGATTCATAAATGACCTCACTGTAAATGGTCGATTTGAAGATAACATAAATACACACGGGTGCAAGTCCAATGCAAATAATATCGCTGCACCTACACATTACAATAAAACGACAATAGCTGTTTTGAAAATGTGTTCATTTAAACGTAACCGCATAAAGATAAGGGGTGAGATCACCACCAAAATAGAATTATTTCAATATCTTTCAATTATTTCACCATTAATTCAATATCTTTCAATTATTTAATTAAGCCCTATCAATCACGTGTTACATTGAAAAACAATGGCTGACGGTGTGGACAAGAGTGAAATAGTGGGAGTGATGGAAGCATATTGTGATGCTGTGAATGCACCGTTGTTGATATCTCGATTGAATGTTTGGACCACGATCACAATCACGGTCACGATGACCAGCGACACTGTCATCTACGCTCGATGTGTTGGTATTAGTTTCTGGGTGACTTGACGTGGCAGGAACAAGAAGGGATGACGATCTCATTGGTTCAACTAATCTTGAGGCTGCGTCCTGGGGCTGTTTCCACGGCTTCGCGACAGGCTTCCACTACGCGCGTAACTTCAACCATGTGTAATCATTGTGTCAACACAGGTGGCGCTATTCGCTTGATTAGCGGCGATCTGCGTTCAAATGCACAGGGAGCCCAGGAACTATGATCAACTTGTACGCAGTCCCTAAGAGCGGGCGCGGGGGGGGGGTATCAGCTGGTATCTAGTGTAAGAAATAAACAAGGGATGAAGGCTCCAGCAAGCACATATTTTTTTGAACTGTAAAAGCAGACGAACAGAATGAAAAATAAAATTTATAAAAAATACCAAGTTGAAGAATATTAGTTGCTCATTCAAATTTCGCCAAAGCCTTTCCTATATGTTATCTAAATCTGCAGAATAAATCAAGAAAACTACATAAATTTACTCCAATTATGAATAATTAACGGTTGACCCGAACGCACGGCACAGTTGGAGGCGTGGCCTGTTCAGAACCAATCACAAGATTCGTTACGTAACCAGTATTATAATTGGTTGTTTATGTAACTAAACTTACCACGCTGGGAAATCTAGTAGAGTAATTTTGTCGTAGATTTCAGTGCACAACAGGTAAAGTAAAAATTGTGGTTCTCGCAAAACACGAGATTCTCGCAATACACGAACCGCACTAATAATAGATTACTGCCACTGGTGGCGCTCTAACCACAGGATACTCTGGTAGCTTACAGAGACCCGTTCGTGACTGGGATGTGAACGAGCAAACTATTCTTTGACACAACTTGTTGGCAACCGTGAAACGTTTAAATACTTCCTCCACCATCAGTTTACTTTTCGAAAATTGCGAGTCAACAGCTTTAGGGAAAAAAATCACTTTTTTGTCGAAATCAGATCGCATTTTAACATCGCGGTAATTGACTTCCGCATTGCATTGAAAAAAATCGGAATAATCGGAAAACTTCGTCTGTACGACACAGCATTTTGATTGGTTAACGAAAGACATGACCTGTTAGTTCAAAGGAAGTTGTTCAGGTCAAATCATGTTGAAAAACACCATGGCGGAAATTGCTTTGTATCGAGAGTTTGCGAGCAATCAAAAACATTCGACAACGAAGATAATGATAAATATCTTGCCTTCGACAGTTTTCCCACAGACCCTATCCATTTTTGCACCGTAAATTCAGACTGTATGTAAACCGTATTGTAATAAAATGTGTATTTTTATGAACATATTTGTTTCTTCATTGTAAAAAGTAACATACAATTTCTCCGAGACCGGCGCTGTGAACGAAAAAATAATTTTGATGATTTTTCAAGGTTGGGAAGAGGTTACAATTTTAAACCCACCAAAAAATTATCTTTTCTGAGGTAGTCCTCGAGTATAAGGCCACCCCCCCCCAATTTTCCAGATTTTACATGTTAATTACCAATAATATTATTACAAGATAAATGATTTACTTCATTGTACACATACAACAATGCATATTGCCACTGGGATCAGTGACCTTTGAATGTGTATCACCAATGATCAGTCAAATAGAAACATCAGTCAAAACATGTTATCAGATTTTCTCAATTTTCGCATGATATTTTTTACACAGGTCAACTAAGGGAAAATTTTATATTGATGAATTAGGCGACTGAGTTTGATAAAGTTTGGAATAGAATTAGTAAAGTTATTGTGCACACATTAACAATTATTAACAACGACACACATTTTCCCCTTAATATATCTTTCCATCTTTAATGATATGGGCAAGGTAATAATAGCAATACGACTGCTGTTATTAAATTTACATTTGTGTGTTTCTGGTA